CGATCAAAAATGACGTGTTTAGGACCGAAGTCGAAGCGAATCCGTGTCAGATAATTATCTTTTCTCTCAAATTCAGAGTTATGGAATGTGGAAGGCTTGTTTGGTTCTTCTTCTTGTTCCAAACTGTCTTCATTTTCTACTTCAAACACACAATTTTCGAATAGAGTAGGAACTGGTAAACTATCTGAATAGCAGGTCGAAGATTACGGGACTGAACTGTTTTTATTTTCTTCATAAGTTACGGAATGGACTAATCCGTAACAACTATTAATATTAACTTTAATTTAATCATTTAAATCATTCATTGACCTTTCTCATGGCCTTTATGAAAGCCCTAGATAGCCAGGTCAAGCTATCTCTGATAGCTTAGAAATAGTTATCTAGAATATACTGACTGGACAGAAGACCCATTATTAAGACGTAGGGAACAATAATCCTTTTCAGTAAAAGAGCACTTTCTCACAGACTTCATGTCAATTCTAAAATATAAGGATATCAATTCTAAAAGATAAGGATATCAATTCTTAACAGTTATAACTTCATTCACACGCTTCCTAGACCGTCCAGAATTGATTCATCCCCCCTACTATTCCTGAGCATATAACCCCTATGATTCTGAGACCAAATCACTCATACAGTTGCATTCTTGAGTCAGACTCTTCACTGTAGGAGACCTGGAGTAAACTGATGTAGTCAACTCGTATATCCATAGTATATTATTCTGTATTTTAGATGCCATTTGTAACATTATGAATAAACCCATTATTTATAAAGTCTCCACTGTCTCCGATTCGTTAAGTATAGACAATTCAGCCTTTATAATGCGTAAAATTGCGTTTCTGTGAGGGAAATGTTATTTTGCCACAAATATAACAAAAAAATATTCACCATATTTACGCATTTTCGTGACATTTTTAAGAATTTTACACTAAAAAAGCACTCCATACAAGCACTCTAAAACGTAATTAAATTTCCGACAAAACTATTAAAAAAAGTCGGTCTTAGCAACGGACGAGTGTATACAATTTTATTTATTGATTTGAATAATTGTTCACTTGCTCGTTTACATTGATTCAGTTCATTAGAGAAATCCTACTCAGGAAAACTAGTCTTATTCAATAGTGTTAATTTTAATAACATATATAAAATTGAAAAATAAAAAAAATTAAAATCGGTAGGAAAATCATGTGAGTGGACACAGCAGATTTTTTATTTAAATAATTGGTGACATTGTATATATTGTCTTTACTCTACAACTCTTCCATTCCAAGGTGGGGACATATCACTATCTTTCATAACAATGCCTTTAAGATATTGTCAAGTTAATTTGGATGGACTTAACTATGTTTATGTCAATAAAACATCTAAATGTATCTATTCTTCGCAAGACTTGCGAGAATCTTTCACAAGATCGAGACCAAGACCAATATTGAGTATGCAAGACCGAGATGGTCTTGATCATGTATTTAGGCAACACTAATTGAGCATATAGCTGACGTAGATGTATAAAAACGAAACCACGGCCATCTGATGCCCTATGACCTGTTATCATATTATCAGTAAAAATAATTCGCTTCCGATTCTCTAAACTCTAAAAGGTGTGTTATGATTAGATTTAACTCGCTTTTTAAGTACTTTTCATGGAGAGAAAATCTTGAGTTTCCACCTTAATTATCTTCTCATTTCTCCTTACTTATTAGACATCTGTGTTGATTTTTGGTTACTATATAATCCTTTATGGCTTATTGCGAACAAACCTATCATCAATATATTTAATTTAGTACATCTTAGTTTATTTCGATATCACCTACTAAAACGTGATCTATCTCAAGGAAAAAGATGTCTGTTTGCCTGTTTTGAAATCTAGATTATGAGCATATTTTTTTTTCTATTAGTTTTTTTTTTAAATAATCACAGTTGAATATTTTAATTTCATTTAGTTTGCACATATTTAAAATGAGATTATAAATAAATCTGTTGAAGAGTTTTTGGTTTTATTTATTTACTGTAACCATTGAAGTATTTTTTTTATGTGGCTTAACAATTTAACTTAGTCATTTGCTTATGTTCCTCTTATTTTGATTTATTTTTAAACCTTTAACCATTGTTAAAATGTAAACGAAGGTTAATTATTAATTCAATGCTCGTTGTATTTCGTACAGCCCCACTGCCATTGTTTCCAAATTATTAGTTTAAAAAATTATTACCCGGAAGAGAAAGGAAAAATAAGTTTGAAGGATACCGGGAAGTATCACTCGAATTGGTAAGCTAATCGTCGTAACGTGTAGTTTTTTTTTTTACTGTTGACGTCGAAACAACAGGATATAAGTTGAAACATTTGTCATTCCAAATGGTAATCTACACTAAATACTGTTGTATAGAACCCTTTTTCAGCTACCAAGAGCGGTAGATTTTGATGAATTTCATGTCAATAATAATAAAGCTTAGCGTAGCCGAAGGTTCGATGCCGACATCACCAATCAATGCCTACATCCTTCCTTCCACTGGGTCCAAACCCAGCAGATCAACATTACCGCAATCTTCCCGCCTTCGCTTCGGCCTACCTCTCGGACACACTGCGGTCAAAACTTTAAAAAGAATTTTTATATTTTATGTATATGAAGTTTTACACAGTTTTAAAGAGGATTCTAGTACGTATTGAGAGTTGAAAAGGAAAAGGAATTTTTTTTTTTTTTTATGCCGTCTCCTAGTAAATGTAGTTGAAAACAAATTGGAGTAAAATAATCCATTTTACTTTTTTGCGAAAACTCCTGAAGAAAACTATGATTAGTGTTGCCCAAATACCAGTCTTGGTCTTGCGCAAGAGTCTTGTAGTTACTTATTAGCTTATTATTATAGTGATATTACTGTAATTTTATATATAGGAGAAACCTGACTAAGCCCGAATGAAAAATTAAAGGAGTTGAATGCAAAAGTGTATTGTTTATACCAATTATTTTTACATGTATGACTAAAATTGTCAAGTATTAGTAACTATTTTGCCTTAATTTTTATTCAAATAATCGATTTTTTTTTACCAGTCCTGGTCTTGGTTACGCGGCCTTGGTCTTGGTCTTGCAAAGTGTAAGACCAAGACCGATTTTGGACAACACTAACTATGATGGAGAATAACTAAAGAAAAATATACAAATTTACGATTTTCTAATTGCAATTTCTTTTAAGGGGGAGTGGGCTATGTAATGTGACTTATGTCAATTTGTTGCGCATGAAAGAAATGAACAAAACCCATCTAATTTGTCTTGGTTTTAGTTGTATTATCTGGGCAGAGGGCGGGGTGGCCGAATGGGCTAAAGCGTGTGCACAGCACCGCGAGTTGCCTGGCAACCGGAGAACAAGATTTGAGATGATTTAAAAAGTACGAGTTCGCGTCCCGGTGCCGGAGGGGATTTTAAATTCCCCGCCCTCACCCTCCGGCCCGGGAAAATCCCGTATAGCCTAAAAGGCGAGGTAGGGAAGAACAAAAAAAAAAGTTGTATTATCTGGATGAAATGTTGATATTGAGATACATTCAAAGTTTTGCATTTATTACTCAACATAAATTTTAAATATACTACCAAAGGTATAATATTTACCACAAAGGTATAATCCATCAAATTATTCACTAATTTGATTTTCTAAAAGTTTACATGATGATTTTTCGGAATAAAGGGATGATAGATACATAATTATTTAAATATAATATTAGATCTAGAGTTATTAAACTGCAGTAAATATATTTAAGATTATATACATACGCATGAAATATTTTTATATTTCACTTCTTCTTTCACACTAGTACAATAAAATAGTATTTTAAACAATGTCATTGCCTTGATTCCGTGGATTTTAAATACTTTTTATCAAACTTAAAAAAAAATTTTAAAGTTTACATTTTGTAAGAAAATTTCATTTAATTTCCTTGGAAACGTGATCTACGTTAAATAATGTTAGTTTTCATAAATTGTTATTTATATTTTTTTCGTCACTCTCCGTTACCTTCTACAACTTTATTTATTAGATATTATTTTTTCTATTCTCCGCTTTCCAACGATACATTATAGGTCCATTTTCGACCTGGATAGGCATTTTTCTTTTTTTTTTCTTCATTTTCCAATTATCATATTCTTTCAAAATTCATATTTAACCATTTTTTATAGTCACTGTCAATAAAAGAAAAAGACATATATGAAGATTGGGCATTCAAGCCCTGTAAAGTGATCAATGGGGATAAGACCTAAATGATACTAAACACCACTTAAATTACATACCGAGTTTAATCAAAATCGTTAGAGCCGTTTTTGAGAAAATTGAAAAAATGTGTTTCACCGTTGATATAAAGTTGCACTTCCGGTGAGTCAGTTTTAACGAAAAAGTTGCTGTCACATCCAACGTATATACCTATCTTAAATACTTAATATCAGCTTCATACGATTTTTCGTTTTTGAACTAGACTGTTCACATACACACACACACTTACAGATTATTTTGCGGGACTTGGTTATTTGGACTCTGGGGACCTCAAAACGTGTATTTCGGTTGAAAAATCAGATTCGAAAATTTTCAAAACCGCAATACTTTCGCTTACTATATATTACATATATTGGTAAGTGAAGGTAAAACTTAATCGATAATCGTGTGTTTCCATGGTCATATTTTATGGCATACAAATCCATATACAATCAATTGGAATGATAGTAAATATTATTTTTAAAAAATATAGGGTTAATAACGCCTCATTATAATATGTAAACATAAACTTGGTGAAAAATAAAAATCCACCATTCTCTGTTTGAATTTCCGAAATAATAAAAACGGACATTTCACAAGAAGTGGCCCAATTTAAGAATTATTTGTTTGCTGGTATCCAATCCGTACCTAGAAGGAAATCTAGATATTATATCTATTGAAAATATCTTATCACTACTGACGTTTAACTTGGAAAATAGTTATGAAAATATACAAAATTCGCTTATGCAATATCTTATCAGAAAGACCTCTGACGGCGTAAGAAATGGAATGATTGCAAGAGCATCTCTCACAGAACAGTACCATGGATATCGTCGAAGAACGGAGGCATTCTCAAAATGGAATATTCGTTATCAGCAATGCAGATGTTGAAGTTGTTCAACAGGGGGCAAGTAATATGTCTATCATATTACCATCATGTATATTTAATCAATATATGATTATTTACTTATCGAAACCTTTTTTTTAATCTCAGTCTTTTATTTTATATTTAAAACAATTTTTAAAAAATAGTAGTACGTTTAAAAAAGAAATTTGTTTTTTGAAAATAGCTCTTGCAGCCGAAACGTTAAAAAATAATAATTTTTTAAATGTAAAATAAATGACTGTCAGATTAAAAAAGAGTTTTGATAAATAAATAATCATATACAGATTAAATGTATTTTTTATAAAATCTCACATTATAATTAATAATATTAATATGGTTAGCGAACCGAAAGGTTCGTAGGCCGACACCATCCATCACTTGTTACACCATCCCTCCACCGTTCGCCGACCAAAACCCAGTCCCTTCAGATCGGCTTTTAATGCAATCTTCCAATCTTCGCTTCGTGTCTACCCTCGGAGTTTACCATTCGGCACAGTCAAATATTAACCTTTTAGGAATTCTCTCGTTACTAACAAAAATATTATACAGCCATTTGATTCGCCGCGATGAAATTACCTCAATGTATTACCCGGATACATCTCACGCAATTCGGCATTGTGTTACCCGTCTGAACTCTCCGGTTGACTCATCCTTTTTTCGGTCGAATATTCTACGCAATTCTTTATTTTCAAAAACTTAAGACGATGCTCATTCCTTAATGTCAGCGGCCAAGTTTCGCATCCATAAAGATCTGTGGTAGGTAAGATAATTGGTTTATAGATTATAAATTTTAAGTTTGGACAAGGAGGCGAGAACTATGTTGGGTTTAGTCCACAGAAAAATACAATGAATTCCCCGCCGTTCAGTTAACCTTAATCTATATTCAAATTTCGTGTTTTTAGTTATCGTAGAATCTAGATACTAATTATTCTACTTGTTTCAATCTAATTAATTACCATCTATATCGATATCACCAGTAGTTTCGCCATTTTTGCAGCTATACATAATATTTTGTTTTATTCAACGTTTATTGCGAGTCCTAGTTCTTTCCGGCTTTCATTAACGTTGTCGTATTTAGTTTTATAGTTTCAAACGTCTTCGCTTAAACAGTACAGATCATCAGCATATCCGACGGATGTTGTCCGCCGTATCCAACCCTTTTTCGGTTCGCATTACTCCCTAATGGCAGGTTCTAATGACAAATTGACAGGCAGGGAAAAAGAGAATCCCCCTGGTTTTACGCCCGAACGGAAAACTCAAATTTTTTCGGACAATAATTATTACCGAATTCTAAACTTTATTGCGGTATCCGTCCAAGCAAATTCATGACTAGATTTACTGAGTTTTTTTGGAATCCCTGTCGATTAGAATATTATATAGTTTATGGCGGTCAAAAGAATCGTTATGCTTTTTAAAATTCTATATACAAGTGGTGAAACAATACGTAACTCCAATTTTTTCTTCTAATATTTGCCGTAAAGAAATATTTGATCAATAGTCGACGATTCCGTCTAAAATCCGCATTGGTAGTCTCCGATAATTTCCTCGGCGTATTCCACGATTCGACTGGTTAAGATTAAATTGAATATTTTTATAAATACGGAGGAGTGAATTCCTCGTAGTTATTACAATCCGTCTCGGACCCTTTTTGTGAATCGGAATAAGATAGATTCTTCAATTCTGCAGTATTTCTCTTTCACCCAGATCTTTTTACCAACCGATGTATTTTAGAACACTCCAGCTTCTCCGATGCCTTAAATTAGTTCAGTAGGAATTTTTCGATTCCCGCTGCTTTATTTGATTTTAATTTTCCGATAGCTACTTCACCTTCTCTTTACTTGGACTCCTTTCTATTAACGGTTCAGCACTTGGTACTCAGAGGAGAACAGATCATAATTTCCCGTATTTAATATATTGTCAAAGTGGTCCTTAAATTTATTCAATATGTCAGCTCGATCGTCAGAATATTGTTATATTATCCCTAATTCCAGGGAGTTACGGGCCCTAAATGTTTACGTGATCTGTATTACCTTTGTAATGTCTCTTACGTTATTTTCGATGTCTATTAGTTTTATTTCAATTTTTATTTTTAAGATACTCCTTTTTTTTTTTTTGCGAACAATTTTGTTCGTTTCGTTCTTTGAGATTCGGAAGTATCCAGATTGTCTTCTGCTAGGATTATTTGAGCTTTAATTTAGCGGCCTTTCTTTTTCGCTCTTGTTTAGCAATCTTCATCAAACCACGGTTTGTTATATATATTTCTTTTTTCTAGACAAGAGTTACCGGACCGCTTTAATTATTATCTTGATCTCTATCCATAACTTGTAATATCTCTGGTCCTCGTCAGGAAGCTCTAATGCTTGAACGACAACCTATTCTTAACATCATTGTCGAATTGGTTTTAATTGATGGATTTTTATTTTTTCCAATTAAAATTCTCAAAATCGAAACGGGTTTTCTTTTCTTTTTTTATATTAAAGTTTTTTTCGAAGTTTCGCGTTTACTATTCATGATCCGACCACATTCTGCTCGCGCTAAGACCGACATTAATAATAATGCTTGCCAGCTTGTGTTGTATAAAGACATGATGATTTGATTTCGTGTTGCGAACATCCGGTGAAGTCCAAGTTATATTTCTGAATATCCTTATGTTTAAACGTCGTACTTTATTTATAAGGTTTTTTCGAGAGGCAAAGTTTATAAGACGGATCCCCATTATCATTACTATATTAAATGAAAACTTTCTTACCAATCGTCGGAAGATAAACCATTTCCCTTCTATCTTTGCGTTCGCGTCACCTACATTTATTTTCATGTTTAGGTTTCGCGGTTAGTTTATCATTTAACCATTCGAGTTTATCGTAATAATTCACTTTTGACTTCATCGTACTGTCTTCGGTTCGGGACAATGTTTGTTTATTAATGCGATTTTTAACACAATCATTCTGAAATGTAGCTACCGAAATTCTTATCACTACGAATTGTACGTTCCCTCAAAGCGGAAGTAATCTACGCTAATTAGAAACCCGGTAACTAAACAGTGGTTCTCGCTCCTCGTTACCAAATAGTGTACTTCCCTTCCTCATCGAGCCCTCCCTGGCAGCGAACCTCTTGCAGGCCACTGACTCCAAATGTACCATTTAACTCATTCGCGGACCGGTTTTGCCCCCCTGCTGTGGTTTAAACTCCTTACGGTCCACGTACCAATATTTAAAATCCCTATATTTCAACTAGCACCATGAATCCTAAAGCAGTCCACCAGGAGACCCGAACGGGGTGGGACTGTTTACCATCGGAATGAGCGTTTTACCCTTTGGGCGACATGACTTTTTGTGGTGTTTGGTGAAACTAAGATATGTGAGTAGGGCGTTCCAATCTACGTCTCCCTCCAGCAAGTCTGGTGGGCCTACCTCAGCAAGTCTGGAGGTCCCCTCCTCCAGCACGTCTGGAGGCCCCTCTCATTGTTGGTCAGCCGAGTTCCATCGGACTTAGCCGGGCGGAACTGCCAAGAAATTTCCAACCGACCATCCCCACATCCGCCACCGTGGGGACGATCCCCATACGCGGGTAATGAGCCCGCGGAGGATAAAATTCACAAACAAATATAAATAGCCTAAATAAGGTTGTATCATAAATATAATTAGTTTTCTTGGCAATCTTGACCTTTCTTCATTATATTATATTTATCATGGCTTGAAACTGAAAAAAATAATAAAATAAAATGAACTTTTATTTTTAAAAAGTTTCGGTATCACCGGAATTTTATTGTCGGTACTTTTTCATCTCTTTTGGAACTAGAACTTTCCTTAGTAACTTTTCAAGTAATGATTTTAAAGAACTTTTATATTTAAAAGTTTTTTTTAAATGTCCTATCGATTTCGCTAAATAATCGATCTAAAAAATAAATTTTATTTACAGCTACTCTTATGATAATTTATTTAAGAGAAATTATAACTCTTATTATTTTTCATTTAACGGAACTTTTTTTTTAAATTGAATAAATAATAGTTAAATTTTTACCATAGACCTGGAACATAGTTCCAAAAAAGTTCCTTACAACTTTACATGTGCTTATTTGTTTTAGGTGAAGTATTTGTAATAATATAAAATAAGGTTGTGTTTTATTATTTCTTCACCACATTTATTTCAATCTATATCGGCTTCGTTTCGGCCAGTAAGCCATTTTATTTAATCATGCTTGTTGTAATGTAGCGCATAATCTGATTGTTTTTTATCAGATCAATCTGATTATGGGCTACATACAACAATCATGATTAAATAAAATAGCTTACTTGCCGATATAGATTGAAATAAATGTAGCGAAGAAATAATAAAATACAGCCTTTTATTTTATATTATTACTTAGAACTATTATTTTAATTACTTTTTTTCCAAAAAAGTTTCTCAGAAACTATTAAAATTGAACTTTTTTTTTTATAAAAAGTTCCATAAAAGATTCAACTCTTTCAATTTATGCTTCACACATAGGTTAAAATAAAAAAAAAAAATTGCTGTGTCCACTCACACGATTTTCCAACCTATTTCAGAAAAGTTTTTATATCTTTACATATGTCCATCAAGAAACAAAATAAAATTGAATTAGATTCATTTTCCTGATAATTGATCAAAGAAAAGATTTGAGTACTATTTATTTATTTAAAGCAATGTAAACCGACTTAAGGAAGATCAGTGTAAAAATTTCAATTCTCTCTAATATTGCTGTTTCTGTTAAAAGTAGAGGAAGTAGTGAAGCTTGTGTGATGCGGGCAACAGATTTTCTTACTTTCACTTAGTTATCTTTTTTCTCTCATTCAACCATTTCTGACACCTGGATATGAACCCGTAATCTTACTTTGAAAATTGAATAGCTGTAACTTCGGTAATAGTTGTCCGAAATGAAATCCTTGAATGTTATAGATCCGTCAAAAACCGCATGTCGGAAATTCGACCTGATTGCAATACTTTCCTTACCTAGTATAGTATAGAAAATAGAATATGCTGTATCATTGCTAATATTGGTTTGATTCCGATAATTTTTTTTTTTTTTGATTTGCTGTTAATTTAATTATCTTTCAAAAGTTTTATTACCAATTTTACCTTAGAATATATACTTAGCGAGTTAGGCCCCAAAAGTATTTTCTTTTATTTGTAACTTTTTTCCCTGAATTTTTAATACTGAATCCAGCAGCTATTGCGCATGGAGCATCCAATTTTGTCACAGGCATTAGTAGTCAAAACTCTACAATATAAAATTAAAAAAACAACAAAATCGGTTCTATAGTTCCCGAGAAAATCTTGGCACAGATAGGCAGACCAATATTTTACTAATATTTGAGTGCTATCAGTGGTTCAGTGCTATCAGTTTCTCAACAAGATATTTCATCTTATTATATTCCTGAGTGCACATTTACTAATTGTATTTTTTTTTTATAATATAGTTGTAAATATCAATGAATAAAAAAAAAAAAAAAAAAGTGAAATTAGGAGATGTTCATTGCCTGCCTTATCATCAGTCATTTCACAAAAGAAAAATACAGCAAATTATTCACCAATTTAATTTTCTAATGGTTATATGACGATTTTTCGGTGTAAACGAAATTATTTATATAATTATTAAGGGATAAAATATCTAATTGTCTAAATATAATATCAGATCTAGAATTATTAAACTACAGTAAATGTATTTAAGGTTATTAATCTATGCTTTATACTTCCATGAAATATATTTCAAATTTTATATTTAAAAAAAAAATTTTAAGATTACATTTACTTATCAAATTTCATTTAATTTCATTGAAAACATGTGATTTCCGTTAAATAATAGTTTTCAAAAATTGTTATTTATAATTTTTCGTCATTCTCCATTACTTTCTATATTAGATATTGTTATTATTTTTCTAAAATTCTACGCTTCCTCAAAAACAACAAATAATTTTAAAAATCTGAATATGTACACTAAAAATTCTTTTTGTATTGGTGAAATGTTTGAAGATTGTAGCTGAAAGTATTTGTTAGAGTGCTTTGATACCTTGAAAACTATTATTAATTGAATTTGTGGGAAAAAATCTATGCAAAAATGACGTGTTTTAAATTCTAAGAGTCAATTATCAAATAAAGGAATTTCGACCGGCATTTTATGGCAAAATACTAGACCAAACAAAACAACTGGATTACATATTTCTTTTCCATATTTTTTTTTTTTACATCCCCTTCCTCACCTTTTAGGCTATATGGGAGTTTCTCGGACCAGGAGGTGAAGGCGGGGGATTAATACTAGATTTAAAAGCGTTCCTTGGCACCAGGACGCGAACTCAGTATTATTTTATCATTATTTTTTCCCCCGAAATTTTCTCCTCTTCTTCGCCTTTAGGCTATACGGGTTTTCACGTGCCAGTGGGCACGGGAAGGGAATTAATTTCAGGGTTAAAAGCCCCTTCCGACACCGGTACTTGAGCTCATAATTATTTTATTATCATTTATTACTTCGGTTATCAGGTTGCCGGGTAATGCACGGTACTGTTCACATCTTAGTCCGCTTGGTCACCCCGCCCTCATTTCTATATATATATATATATATATATATATATATATATATATACATATATATATATATACATATATTATCAACGAGACAACTTGTTCTTGTTTAAGATAAAAAGAAACAACTGACAAATAGGTCAGTCTTCCTCACAATTTATTGGGTATTTATGAAACTCCCTCCCTCCTCCTAAAAAAAGGATGTTTCTATATATTTATTAAACCGGCCAAGTCGAATGAGCCGTTTTTGAAATATAAACATGTCAAAGAAAATATGAAAAATAAGAGTAAGCAATATTAGTCGATGGAATTCAATCAAATCTGTGCTGTAACAAAAGCTCCTCTTCATTGGGCACCATATTACTCTCATTAAACAGAGAGTACATTATCATTGGTTAACAACGATGTCTTTCGCTAATCTAGTTACTATTAGTATAAAGTAACAATTCTTAAAAGTATAAAATATATATTTTTTTTTCAGAGGATAACACCGACGATGAAGCAGATTTAGAAACGGCACTAACTGAAAGTGGTAAGTTTCTATGGGTTCGAATTTTGCATTAGATATATTGAGAATACATGTATTTATAAAGTGGTTTTCCACTTGGACAAATGACTGACATGGACATAGCACATAAAACAAAAAAGAAAAGAACTTAATCAGCGATACGGACTTCTTTCTAGGCTACTTGACAGACGTTCTAAATTATCTGTGACTAATAAATTAACTATTTACAAAGTCCTCATCAAACCACTTTGGACATATGGAATCGAACTATTGGGAACAGCAAAGACATCAAATATAAAAATCATTCAGTCATTCCAGTCAAAAGTCCTTCGGAAAATTGTAGACGCACCCTTTTATGTTTCAAACCTCACGTTACACACTGACCTTAACACTCCTTTCATCACGGCAACTGCCACTGACCGCTTTAATAATTTTCATGACAGACTGAATCTAAATTCCAATCCACTTACTCAAGCTCTATCTACTGCCACAAATCCATATAATCCGCCCAGAAGACTGCTCAGGCGCTGGCCAAGAGACTTATTGCTCTGAGCTACTTGCTACATTATCTTTCTTTTGTGTGTGTTGTTATGTTATCATGTGTTATTTTACTACTGTTTTTTTTTTTTTTTTTTTTTGTCTTTTTGTTTTGTTATCACTATTCTTTTTTTTATGCTATCATTTATTCTCCTTGATATCATATTTGCTGAATACCCGAGGTAGATGGCAAATTTATTGTGAGCCATGAATATTTATAACTAATAAATAAAAATAAAGTAGTTTAGGTTCAGTTTTGAAAATTATACACCTAGTATCAAAAATATTCGTGTTATAATAAGACGTTTTACTTAACGTTTCTATTATAATGTACTTCAACCATCCTGATCATTATTATGTTAAAAGAAAAAATAATAATGTCTTATATTCTAATTATTTTCAAAATTACGATAATTTATTTTTACTTGAATACTTGTACTCAAAATGTCGCGTTCTTAAGTCGGCCATTATTTTGGAAAAACGGAGGCTGATATTGTCTAGATACTTTTTTTTTCCTGTTCTTCCCTACATCGCCTCTTAAGGCTATACGGGATTTTCCCGGGACGGAGGGTGAGGGCGGGAAAATTAAAATCCCCTCCAGTACCGGGAGGCGAACTCGTACTTTTTAATCTTCTCAAATTTGTGATCCAGTTTGCCAGGCAACTCGCGGTGTTGTGCACACGCTTTAGCCCATTCGGCCGCCACCCCGCCCCATTTATTGTCTAGATACTAAAATCATTCTAGAATAATCTGAGGCTTTGATGGCAAATATTAAAAGAAAGTTATATAGAACATGTTTCACCGAAAAGTACTTCCCCTTCAAGATGGCAGCCGAAAGATCTGATGTACCGATTTCAATGAAACTTGGCTAATGTCTTCTTTTTTCGTAACCCTAAAAATTTATCTATATAACATACTTTAACGGAAAGATGCTGGGAAAAAAGTTCCGAGGGGTGGTAAAATTATATTTCCGAATAACTCATAAAGTATACACTGTTTTGCGATTTTTATAATCACATATTTCAAAGGTATTTAAATTTTCTAAAAAACTTCATCGAAATAAGAGCATCATTAATAAATATATCACAGTTTTTAATTGTTTTCGGTTTATTATTTTAAGTTGTGAACAATTGTAATCTTCTCAAAAATTCAAAAACTTAATCTTCTCCTTAAAATTTGATGTTCTACAGCAAAGCTTATATCCTTTGTTTTGGTTTTTGATTTTTGAAAGTGTTACATCAACGGAAGCAATGTTTTCTATTTTTCTTAGCAAATTACTAATAATAATAAAAAAAGTATTCAGGTAATTATTAGAAATCACCTTCTATTCATTTTGACTTAGGTTGTCAGAAATGTAATGTTACTTGTTATAATTGTTTAAAATTAATACATCATCATGTAATTAATTTGCAGCATTTTAAAATTATGTTTCTTGGATTTTCGGCAAACCTTCTGCATTTTATTTCCTTTTATATTATTTAAGGGGGAAGCAACAAGGCCCTCCCATGCTAACATATATTATATTTAATTGAAAATATTAAACAAAAAAAGTTACAGAAAAATCTACAATGCATCATCAACACCATTATTTTTACCATAACACAAGGAAAACAAAAATTTCCCTTTTTTTTTTTCAATCAGTCCGAAAGCAACCTCTTTCCCTTGTGTTTGTTAATATGGCCCTAAACACTTACAAAGTTGGTGACAATAAACATGAAAATACAACTGTATTGACAATTCATTAATTTGTGTTCTGTGTGGTTATAGTATATATATAGGATGTCCCAAAATTAACGCAAGATATAAATTAAATTCAAAACACATTTTTTTTTTCTTTGTCAATTTAACAGCTGATAGTTTAGTATTAGTAAAAATGGAGCGTTAAACGGGCGAACTTGTTTTAATTGTTGAACAATATTTTAAAAATAATAAAAGTCTTGCGGCCACACATAATTTTTTTTATTTTTTATCTTATTTATTGAAAAATATTACAATCTGTCTCAAGGACATTTATAATAGTGTTCACAGATCACATTCACATTCTATGCACAATAAATAAATATATAAATTATACAGAAAAATAATATATATGCAATAAATAAGAATAAAATAACCTAAAAACTTAAAAAAAAAAAAAAAATACTAACTAAATATTCTCAGAATATTGATCTAACTTCATCAACTGTGAAGAGAGTGATTCAAGAAATTCAATCAGACTGGATCAATTGATGATGTTAAACACACTCGTCCAAAAACAAGCCGTTCAAGTGTCAATATCGAACTGTGGCTCTGGTGCCTTCGTTCAGTCTCTACTGGCTTACCAGTGAAGCCACTGGAAGAGAGGCACTGGGATCTTCCGAAGTCCTGCTTTGTCTTCCACTTTTGGAATGAATGTGTTAAGAAGATTTGTTTTATTTTTACTTATTGATTTATTTCTTATTTCACTTGTATGGATTATATATGTATGTTATTCTATTTTTATATTTTTTTTTTTTCTTAGTTTACTCATTTATTTTTATTTATTTTTATTTCTCTGTTGTATGTATATATGGTATGAATGAACACATTTAGCCTTGTTACTTGTTGCCCTTCAATGTGGCAGATTATAATATTTATTGTTCAATGAAAAAAGATTGGAAGATTGATGTGTACGATGTGTGGCTTTAATAAGACGGTGCTACATGCCATACAGCCCGCGAAACACTTCAATTACTCCATGAAACATTTCCTTGCTGCGTACTCTCTTGTTTCGGTGAAAAGAATTGGCCCTCTAGATCGTGTGATTTAACACCATTGGATTTCTTTTTATGGAATTATTTGAAGTAAAAGGTCTACGCCAACATTCTTACAAGCACACAAATGTTGAAGGATAAAATTCAATGCTACTTCAACAAAAATCAGCCATATTTATGTAAAATAGTCATAGAAAATTTCAACAAAAGAGTGCATATATGTCAGCAAAGCTGTGGAGACCATTTGTCCGATGTGTTATCTCATCATTTATATTACGATTCAACAAAAAAATAACAATTTAAAGAAAAAATAACTGTGTTTTTTATTTAATTCAAATATATCATTAATTTTGGATCACCCTTTTTAAGCATAATATTTATTCGTAATAATTATCTAGTTTTATTATTTCGAGGAATACTTTTAATAACCCTTTTTTACTTCACAAAAAATTTATTTCATTTTTTATTTGACATTTCATATATAATTTTTTCCTAAATTTTTTTTTTGTGTGTTAAATAGATCTCATCCTCATTGCCAGATTACCTAAGCATTAGCTTGTATTTTTTATAGATTAATCCATCACTATACTTATATTATAATCTATTTCTCAACAGATATTTTAATATATCTCAAGCTCTTGTTTAATTTGTTACTTCTATTTTACTTCTTCACATAAACTGTGAATTTATCTCTCCATTTTGCTGACCTATTTCCTCTGTACCTGTTATCTATGCAGTGGTGTAAAAAGCAAATAGTCAATAAACAACAAAAAAAAAAATCTTTTTCTAATTAAACATTTTTAATATTAATGTACCTCTTAATATGTATCATCACTATGCTAAAAAAATAAACAATTCCAACATTTATCATGGAACTAATTTAATTTTAATTGGTAATGATTTTATTTTTGTTCTTCTTGTAAATATACTTGTAAATATAAATCATTTACATTTAATTCTAGGTTTTGGAAAATTCAACATTTTATTGTTGCTACTGTCATTCCCTGCATCATGCACTGCTAACTTCGAAACCGGATCTATGTCCTATGTGATCCCAGCTGCGTCCAAAGACTTAGGCCTTACTCCAAAAGATAAAGCTATGCTTCAATCAGCATGTTTTGCAGGTAAAGTTTAATTTATAAATATTATGCAAGGTGAATAGCCTCTCAAGAAAATAAAATAGATACAAAGTAACTTTTAAAAAATAGACTATGCAATAGCAGACTCACAAACAATTCAGAATAAAACAAAAATTATGACCATTTGTATATGTTGCTGAATACTCGAGGAACCCGTTGAAGATGGTTTGGTTTTGGAAAAGTTTACATTTAATTCCAAATAGAGAGAGAGAATCACTTTATTATCATAAAATAAAATGGTGCTGCCCAATTACATTGGGTTGCTAACAACACAGCATACTTATTAATCACTACAAACATTATTTAAAATTATTATTTTATTGTTGTCTGTTGAAAATTATAAATTATTTTCACTTATCTATCAATGTAATATATAGTAAGAGTAAGTATTGTGAAAATTTTCGAATCTGAGTTTTCAATGGAAAATGTATGTCGGAAATACATGTTTTGAGGTCCTCTTAGTCCACATACCAAGTCCCACAAAATGGTGTTTTGTTTTAAATTTTACATTTTTGTGGAATTTTAAATATGGAGTAGGTGGTGGAACAGGAGTTGTTAGAAGGATTTATCTATGGAGATAAGTAAAGAGTTTCAAAAGGAGGTAGCACGAATGACAAAGGATTTGCTTAAGGAAGTAGTTTTATGGAAGGGGACATATAAATCTATAAGTTGAGACATGGTATTGTGAGAGTGGATAGAGGAACGCAGGGTAAGGAGTTCCAGGATACAGGGAGGGGTTTTAGTTCTGAGGACCTGAAAAAGAAAAACACCAACAAGGAATTGTCGTCAGGAAGTAGGATAAAAATAACGCCACTTCAAATCGGTATACCAGAATGAAATATGAGAAGGCATGGGGATCCCAAAGATGTATATTATGGAACAGTTCATGGGTTTCTTCAGTCTCATTTCTAGCCTGACAGATAGCCCTCCATACACCAAGCAGCCGTAGTCGAAGTGGTGGAATATAAGGGAGATTACAAGGAGCTGTCTAATTTTTAGAGGAATACAGAATCTTAGGAGTTGTTTAAGGACAGTAATGGATTTTCGGATAATCTGGGAGGTATGGTTATTCCAGGTGAGGTTCTAGTCAAAGGTTACTCCCAGATTTTTGACAGTAGAGAAAAAATGGATGGGGCAGTTATTGATGTGAAGTAAAGGAAAGTAAGGAAGGGATCCAATGAGAATAGCCTTAGTTTTATCTGCATTCAGCTTTAACTCATTTATTTCTGTCCATCTGTTGATGCAGTCAATATAGTCTTGTAGCTTTCGGGTAGCCTCAGGTATCTCAAAAGGTTGGAATGATCGGTAAATTTGGAAATCATCAGCATATAAGTGGTAACAGAAGGGTTGAATGGTGTCAGGAAGGTCACTAATATAAATAGAGAAAAAGGTCAGTGAGAGTAAGGAACACCTCGTGTTAATTGAAGGAGTGACGATGGAAGTTTTTTGGGAATTACAACTGTCTGAGATCGATTGGATAAGAAGGAGAGGAACCATTTTAGGACGCTATTTCATATGGGCAGGCTTTGGAGTTTGGAAAGGAGGATCTCATGATTGACGGAACCAGACACTTTGGAAAAATCAAAAATGATTAGGATGGAGATTTTCTGTTTATCTATAGTGGATTGAAGGTCTTGGGTATCCTTAGCAAGGCAGACTGGGTTGAATAATAGGAATGAAAACCAGAGAATGGAACTCGGTTCTTGTCTCGACTCCCATAAGATAGCCCTGAGGATGACCCACATGGTTGGGTCGAGTCGTCGGCTAACCTAATAAAAATTCTTGAGTGTAAATGCTGAAAATTTTGTTTCATACTAATAATTGATCAGTCCACTAATTACCCATTTCTATTATTTACATCTGTTACTTAAGAACTTTGAATGAATACTCACAAAGGTGATGTAAACAATTAAATAGTAAGTAGTATATAATCTAGAATTAATCTGCAAGAATCTAGCATTGTCTTATTAACTTGCTCCACTCTCTTCCAATTCTCATTCTTTTCAAGATGTTCTCCTCATCGTCGTGCAGCCAACTCAGACTTAGTCATCCTCTGATCAATCTTAGAGCAGATGTATAGGAATTGAGTCTGTGAACATAAGTGCCACATGACCAAACCATCTAATTTGGTTACTGCTCAAAATTGAGATCAAATCCGTTCTCCTGTATGTCTGGAACGAATTCTTCACTAGCAATGTTTGCATATCGGATATAGATCTTGTGGAGAATTCTCCTCTTATTGGCGAGTATGGCAAAGCAGTATCTATTCCTGCAATCATCCTTTCTTTCATTCCACCACCTAGCCTTCTAGTTTAATATTTAAAATCAATATTCTGACTGTATAGGATTTTGTTTAAAATCTTTAACATACAAAATTACAAAAAAAAAAATTAATGTACATAAAAATTTACTAATTAATAAATTATTTTCTTTAAATAATTTTATCATCACATTCCAACCTGAGATATCATTAATAATAATTATTGTTTATTCCGCTTTCCTTTAAGGTATGATATCTTCTGGATTGTTCTGGGGATTCCTATCGGATGCCCTTGGCAGGAAAAAGCTGCTCGTCATTGGCTTCCTAGCAGATGGCATCTTGAATGTCCTGGCTGGAGCATTCCCAATCCTTTCACTGATGATAGTCTTCAAGTTCCTCTCTGGCTTCATGTTCGTATCCATTATTTCTTTACAATATTTTATATACCTGTGCTTAGGTATCCTTATATATATGTATATGTATCACATCTGCTTGGATTAGGGTTGTCAGGTTTTCCAAATTCCAAAGTTGGAAAGTATTAAATCAGCAAAGGGTGACAAAGGACATTTTTTCATATAAAAAATAATGACAAATTATATAGTTAAAAACGATATAGATTTTATTTAAAAAAAAAATGAATATACTAGTTATTAAGCTTAATAACATATCCCTACTATAATAAACTGTTTAAAAACATATAAAATTATTTACCAACAATATAGAATGCAGTAGCTTAGTGGTAGGGCACTGAGTTTCCAATGCTTCTTAGGACCTCAGGTTGGAATCCCGACTTATGGTAAATAAATTATTTATTCTGTATCTTCCATGGATCATCCCTGGAATTGGGAGACCCTCCTGGAGCACACCCAGCCTATATAAAGTGGGTATCCTTGATTAAATAATTAATTAAGGGAGAATCCTGGCAGTTGAGCGTGATCTCGATCAAATCACCTCCTTGCACAACCATTGACTTAGAAACAATACTTTCCCTAAATAGTACTGAACCCAAGATCCTTCATGGGTCGTAGTGGTACAGGTTTTTTTTTTTTTTTTTTACTCAACATTAATTATAATTCAATAACTCATTGCTCGTGTACTAATGTATTAATCAAGGTTGTTTCCAATTTTATGTTTTTGTTTAATTTTGGCATATTTTAACAACACATCACTTTTATATTTAAAATATATATATATATAGAATATTATAAAGAATTCAGTCATTAATAGTTCTATTTTAATATTTCTGACAAAATATAAAAATAATTTTACAAGTTTTGTTTTGTTACAGTAAATTAATGAGTCAATTTATGTTGTTATGCAGGTTCTGTGGGCCATTTTCAATTTTCACCACATATGTCTCAGAGGTTTTTCTGAAAAAGAGACGAAATATAGCTGTCTTGTCAATGGGAACATATAGTGCAATAGGCCAGATTGCACAAGCAGGTCAGTATTTGGTATAATATGTACTATCATTAAATCTATCAAAATTTTATTATTACAATATCTTAATTTTCTATTTATATCTATTATTTCCTTATATAACTTCATATTTATTTTCTCTGTTTTACACTTTATTCTAAGATTACCATTTTTTATTTCTTATGTTACCTTATTTTAATTATGTTTATTTCATTGGTCCGTGCTTTGTTGCCGTTATTATTATTTATTTCTTAGTTCTCTGTTGCCAACAGGGAAAATGTTGGCATGTCCAATTTTTTTTAAAAATACTTTATCTCCACAGCCTCTTCAAATCGAGAATTGACAATTTATTGAAGTGAAAATTTCTTTAGGCGCCTTTTGCAGTTTTTTTGTGGAGAGTGGATCAGATTGAGCCATTCGATGTCCAATGTATATTGATTGAAGTCGGCTGGAGTCAACTAATTGAAGTGTTTTTGCATACGGATTAAAATATCTCGGAAACTGAAAATAGGGTCTGTATATTGTTAGCGAGGGAAATGTTCATCGTTTCATCCTCTTTGTATTGAAAGATTATTCAAAATTGAATCTTAACGTGACACTGTGTTAGAGAGGATAAAAGGGAAAAAAAAGATTGTCCAAACGATAACGAATTTTATGGAAGATATGAATTAAAATATCTCAGAAACTAAAAGCCAGATCTGAGTACTGTAAGAAAGAGAAATGTTCAACATTTCATCTTTTTTGTAAGGTACTATTATTCAAAATTTTAATTTAACACGATTCTGTGTTAGTCAGACAAAAAGGAAAAAACTAGTGTCGAAAATCAATTGATAACGCGTTTTTTTTAAGATTCTTCTTCTTAATCAATTCCTCTTCTACTGTTAGATCAGTGTAGAGGATCCTGTTTATAGAACTTGATCCATTTATCTCGTTCCCGCACCAGCTGACTGCGTCTATTCCAGTTCATTCCTCTCCTATCGAAATCCTCCCTGACTGAACCTTTCCAGGTCTTTCTGGGCCTTCCTCTCGGCATTCTTCCTTCCACTTTAACTTCATATATAGTTTTGGCCATTCTTCCCTACTGCATTCTTTTTACTTGGCCAAACCAGCTTAGCCTGTTTTCCTCAATTGTGTGTTTTCTGCTGGTTTTATTCCCAAATTGCTTCTTATCGTTATATTTCTGGTTTTGTCCCTCCTAGTTTTCCCTACTATTGTTCTCAGAAATCGCATTTCCAATGCTTGGATATTGCTTTTATTTTTTAGGTTATAATCCAGGATTCACTGCCGTAGGTCAGTATGGGGACAAATGTATTTTTATACACCGTCTTCTTGACATTTAACACTTGACTGGATTTAACACTTCTCTCTTTGCTAAGAAGCCTGTTTTTAGTGAATGGATGCATTTTCTGACCAGTCTTATTCTTTCCCTGATTTCACCATCTATCCAACCGTTCTCATTTAGATGGGCTCCCAGATACTTAAAATCTTTGACGTGCTCGGGTTCCTCCCCCTTCAATCGAAGTACTTGGTCTCTCCTCTCTTCTCTTCCTATCCTCATTATTTTTGTTTTATGGCTGTTTATTTCCATGTTAAACAGTTCTAATTCTTCCTGCAGGAGGATGTATTGGAGGTTTCTTCCGTTGTTCCCGAACATCGCGATATCGTCAGCATATGCCAGAAGGGTGAGATGAACTGATCGTAGTTCTCTGTGACCCAACCTAAAAGGTCTCATTCTTTTCTTAGCTCTCTTCAGTGCCATTATTATAAACAATAAAGGGCTCTGAAACTGCCTAGAGGTGTGGTTATTGGTTCTGACCACGCTTATTTTCTTTTTATATAGGCTAAGAATGATTAAGAATTTTTTGAAGATATGGATTAAAATATCTCAGTCACTAAAAATCGGATCTGCATACTGAAGGACCCTTTATAATGAGCTATTATTTATATTTTATATCTCATATTATTAATATCGCCTTGTTGATGTTTTCACTTTTATCATGAAGTCTAAAGCACACCCCTTAGTATTTATTTATTTTTTAACAAGGGAAATGTTCATCATTTTATCCTCTTTGTATCGGAAGATTATTCAAAATTGTATCTTAACGTGATGCTGTGTTAGAGAGGTGAAAAGGAAAAAATAGTGTCGAAAACCAAATGATAACGAGTTTTATGGAAGATATGGATTAAAATAGTTCAGAAACTATAAATCGGACCTACATACTGTTAGGGAGGGAATTTTTCAGCATTTCATCCTTTTTATAATGAACTATTATTCATAATTTATATTAATCTCGACTTGTTGATATTTCGACTTCTATTGTGTGGTCTAAAGCATGTACATTAGTTCTTTTTTTTAATTGTCTTCGTGTTTGAAAAGTATCTTTTGAGGATTTCAACTTTACCCTCTCATTTTCGATATTTCAATGAATTAAATTAGAAAACAATTTATATATTGTTCAAAATGAAATGAGAAAGAAATTCAACAGTTCTATTGATCATAAAATTCTATTCCATGTACTCAGGTAATTAATGAAACAACTTAACCATTTTTTTATTTAAACAAAAAAGAAAGAAAATAAGATGATGACGGTTCACTGATGTTCACGGATTGTTTTTTTATTAAACAGGTCTCGCAATGTTGATAATTCCAGCACAAGTTCCCAGTTATATACCCTTCAAATCATGGCAGCTCTTCCAGATGGTTTGTGCTCTACCTCCTCTTATCACTGCTATAGGCTGTATCTTCTTTGTTGAATCGCCGAAATTCTTGATTGACAAAGGGAATCATGAAAAAGCTCTCAAAGTATGCCAGACTATATATTCCATCAATACTGGTAACCCTCCTAATACTTATCCGGTAAGAATTTCAAATTAGACCACAGGTTTTTTTTTCTTCCATATAACATTCCATTAGTTTTAAGATGATTATTTTTAATTTTAATAACTTATATATATATATATATATATATATATATATCTAAATTTGTATGCTTACTTACTTACTGACGGACTCTACATTCCAAGATGGACGTTGGCCCCCTTCATGATCTTTTTCCAATCCTCTATATCCTTCACACTTCCCCTCCAATTCACCACTCCCATTCTTTTTAAATCCTCTTGCTTGTCACTTTTTTATTATTTTCTCGGTCATGCTCTTTTCCTTTTTCTGGGAAATTCCTCCCTCAGTATCGTTGCAATGTCATCAAGCAGTCTTCCCAGCTAATTCTTCGAGCCTTCATAAAGCCTACAATATCCTTGCTGTAGTAGACATCCCTCCCTCCATGTACTCCTTTAGGTGACATTGTGTGAGCGAATGAGAAGGAATATATAATATATAGAAATGTGAGGTTGCACTGTGAATTGTACTCAATTATGCAGTGGACAAATTATTCATGGAAAAGTCTCATATCGATAAACAATCGATGAAGGACGCTAGAAAAAGGTCAGAGCAGGCAGCTAGCAACAGCTGGCAGAAGGATGCCGAGAAAGTCACTTGAGGCTTGGAAGTCTCTGGGAAGAGAGGCTTACTCCATTGAAGACTAAGAATATCAAGCCTACAGTTATAAGACTTTTATAAATTAATTTATTACAGTTGTTAAAATAAATTGTTTTATTATACAGGAGTGAAAAATCATTTTATTTAGTTGTCCTATATGCCTCACAACTGAAGAATAACAAACCAGGTGAGTCAATTCATTCAAAGTGTATTTACTAAGTCCCACATTTCATATATATATATATTATTATTGTTTCTTGTCACTCAGTGTCACAAAAGTATTAGATTCCCGAATTCCCAACAACAGTTAAACACCCTCAAAAAGTCTATATCCAGTGCCGGGGTTTTGTTTTAATTATCTCGAGTGTAAATAACCTAGTTCCCCCCATAAAAAGCGGAAGGCTATTCGCTATTCCCGCCAAAACAAATTATTAACATTTAACTTTATTTAGTTATTTACATTGTGCTTTAACAGTTCATCCAGCTCCTGATTTGTCCTTATCCTCCATTCTCCTTGTATGCATAGGAGACCAAAAACTGGTCTCATAATGTTTCTTTTGAAAATCCTTAGTGCCTTCTGGTTTCCTTCTTGAATCCGAGGTCGAGACTACCATATACTTGTTTTTGTGCTGTTAAATATCAATCCACCCTTCTTACATTCTACAACCAATGTCGATAGAACCTCAACTATTGCTGCTTTGCTTCTACCTAGAATTGCAAAGTCAGGCTCGAAGTCTCTTGGGCAAATGTAAATATTGTATATAGGTGTGAATGAGTTTTAGAAGAATTCTATTTATTGAAATGAAAACTTCTTTAGACGTGTTTTGCAATTTTTTTCTGGAGAGTGAATTAGATTGAGCTGTAAGATTTCCAATGTTTAACGCTCGGGCAAGTTCGGCTGGAGCTGATTAATTGATGTTTTTTTTGCATATGGATTAAAATATCTCAAAAACTGAAAATCGGACCAGTATATAGCTAGCGAGGAAAATGTTCATCATATTATCCTCTTTGTAATCAGCTATTATTTAGAATTGTATCTTTATGCTATGCCATTTTAGAGAGGCAAAAAGGAAAAAATATTGTCGAAAACCGAATGATTATAAGTTTTATTGAATATATGGATTAAAATATTTTAGAAACGAAAAGCCAGATCTGCTTACTGTAAGCGAGGGAAATGTTCAGCATTTCATCTTTTTTGTAAGGTGCTGTTATTCAAAATTTTAAATTAACGCTGTATTAGTCATGCGAAAAGGAAAAAAATAGTGTTGAAAACCAAATGATAACAAGTTTTTTTGAAGATATGGATTAAAATATCTCAGTCATTAATAATCGGACCTGCATACTGAAGGAGCCTTTATAATGAGCTATTATTTATAATTTACATCTCATATTATTAATATCGCCTTGTTCATGTTTTCACTTTTATCATGTAGTCCAAAGCACACACCTAAGACTTTATTTATTTTTTTTTTAAGTTTTGTATTTACTTTTAACTTACTTTTGTCATCTTCAGATTTTGTAACCATTATCTACTTAGATACATCCTTTAATTTGTGAAGTCATATATTTATTTTTTTTACTTTTATCTGTATACTTTCTTTACTACTTCTATTATTATTTTATATTTTGTTTGTTTACTTTTATTTATTTTTTTAATTAGTTTTTAATTACTTTAATTTATTTTTCTTGAATGTATGCACTCTACGAGTGGATACTTTTAGCTCTAATGTTTATTGCTCTTGAGTGTGGGAGATTGTGTTATGTTCAATAAATTAAAAAAAGTAAAAAAAAAAAAAAAAAATAGAGCTACAACTTTGATTCTTTGCAATTTAATGGAATCTTTAACAATGTCCAAGATATTTGAATTACATGCATACATGGGCCCCCGCATACTTGGTACCCTCAATGGTAGATTTTTGCTAGAAATTCAATCTCAATCAAGGATGTATGAAACGGAAAAATATTTTTATTATGTTTTCAGATAAAAAAGCTGAAGTATAAGAATGCCAAAAGTAAGAATAGATCTAATTACTCCAAATTCATGAATGGAATGGACATCTTTAAACCTCCTTTCATAAATAAGGCAGTGATAATATTCTTCATTCATACAGGAGCGGTCGGCTTGTGAGTATATAAATAAAAAAATAATAATAATAATTTTTAATGCCTTAATAAAAGCCATAAGTCACTCAAATACCATTAAAAAAACAAATGAGTGACATTTTACCAATTCAGGCATCTCAAGGACAAAAAAAAATCAAAACATTTTGGCTGTATATATTTTAATATTGTTGGTTAAAACTTAGCTATTATTTCTAATAATAAAACTTCAAATTGATCCATCCGTCTTATTTTATTTTTTTATTCACTGACTTTCAGCCCTTAAACATTACAACCTTATCATATTTCATAATTATTATTATTTTTTTTTTTTTTTTTAAATGATATTTACAACTGTATACAAAAAAATACATCTAGTAAATTTGCACATTGGTATAAAGACATGGAACACATGTTGAGAAACTACCCATTGGTAGCACTCTAATAATTATTTTTAAAATTCCATTTTCAATTTATACAGGATGTTCAGTTCTTAATGGCCAATCTCTGGGAGGGGGGGGAGTGGTTCTTGAAAAAATTTCTAACAAAGAAGTTAATTTGATGCAAATGGAAAAGGAGTTAAGACCAATTTTGTTTCTTCCTTAAGGTGGCCACTTTTTTTAGTGAATAAGAAGGAATTGCACAAAAACTATTCAATATAATTAATGAGATAACAGTGATTAAATTTACTAAAGTCAATGATAAAAGAGGCTTTCAGGAGGTCCAATGCGACTGCTGTACTGTTGCGTACAAATCTGGAATAGAGAGATATGCTGCTCGTGTATGGGTACTGTAACTGCAGCAGTATAGCGGCGTTATTAGATTGGCGTTAGTAAATTTGATCACTGTTATCTCAAAGTAAGTTTTGTCTACTTTACAATGTTGTACTTAGAAGTACATTATCTTGAACAGTTTTTGAACAATCCCTTTTTATTCAATAAATATCTGGTGTGTCCACTCACACGACTTTCCTACCTATTTCAGAACAGTTTTTATATCTTTACATTTGTTCATGAAGAAACAAAAAAGAGTTGAACTAGATACATTTTTCTGAAAATTGATCAAACATAAGATTTGAGTACGATTTATTTGATAAACTAAAGCAATGTTAACCGGCTTAAGGTAGATCAGTGTAAAAATTTCAGCACTTCCTAATATTGATGTTAAAAACTTTTTCCCATAGCTTAGTATTGTCAAACAATAATTCCTGTTAAAAGTAGTGGTAATATTGAAGGTTGTGTGATGCTGGCAACAGATTTTCTTACTTATACTTAGTCATCTTTATTCTTTCATTCACCCCTTTCTGACACCAGGATACGAAACCGTAATCTTACATTGGAAATTTAATAGCTGTAACTTCGTTAATAGTTGTCCAAAATGAACGATTTTTATATGGCTTTGTAGCGAATTTCATTACCTTTCAAACGATCGGCTAAAAGTTTTATTATAAATATATACTTAGGGATTTAGGCCCCATAACATAACATTATAACTTTTTTTCCTGAATCTTTTCGGAAATTTAGTCTATATATATATATGAAAATTGAAAGAACAATGATTAGAACATTGTGGAAGTTTCATCAAAAGGAAAGTTTCATCAAAATTGTTAAACCGTTTTTGCGCTACAGTCTGTAGAAAAACATGTTTTTCATTTATTGCACGAAAGCTATTGCGCATGGAGCACCGAATTTCTGTCATAGGCATCAGTAGTCAGTAGCAAAATAGAAAAAGAAGCAACAAAATCGGTTCAGTAGTTCCCAAGAAAATCTTGGCACAGACAGACAGACAGACCAATGGTTAAAAATGTGTTTTTCGGACTCAGGGGGCTCTGAAATGTATAGATCCGTCGAAAACCGCATGTCGGAAATTTGACCCGATTGCAATACTTTCCTTACCTAGTATAGATAGGAAAGTAAAAATGTGACTACCTTAACAGAAACTCAAAATTGGTCTTAATTACTTTTCCTTTCTGAATCCGTCCATGCAGCAAATGAAGTTTTTTTTGAAAATTTTTTCTAGAATCACCCTCCAGAGTTTAGCCCCTAACAACTGCGACACTCTTTATATTAAGTGAAAGTTGTGCATTGCATGGCTTCAGATTTTTTTTTGCATAGCTTCCTCCACCTCCCTCCGATAGTGAGAAATCAAAAATAAATAATATTTTAATTATACTAGTAAAATTAATTGATCTCAAATTTATGTTAACGACATTTCCAGAAATAACATTTTGCGATTATGGTTACCAGAAATTTTTTCGTTGGTCAGTTCATCAAACTTGGATCCAAAAGAAGGACTTTGCCCACTCCTACAAGAAGGTAACTTGGCGAGAGCTAATTTAACCTCAGTAAGCTTGAAATTTTGTAAATCTGGATTAATTTTACTGTACGATTTATTTTTACAATATTGCTTGTATTGTTGGGTTCTTCTTTAGGAAGCATTAAAGAATGAGGATGTTTATTTTAAAATGATGTTGGTAAATGCTGGTTGTTTATTCGGCCATATTTGTTTCTTGCTCTTAGTCACTGTTGTAGGAAAGAAGATAATGGAACGTAAGAAATATTTGATTTTTTTTTTAATACTGATTTTTTTTATAAAGTACGATTGTGCATTGTAATAATATTAAAATATATAATATTTATCATTTTAACAAATCATTTAATATATTTTTAATTTCAGTTGGCTGTGTCATAGTGGCTGGAATTAGCTCATTCATTATACCTTTAATCAGCGCAGAATACGTCACCATTTTGGCCTCAATCAGTTTAACTCTTTACAACATTTCTATCTTTTGTAACATAAATATAATGGTGGAGATTTTTCCAACAAGAATGAGGTATTGAAACATTCATATTATTTTTTTTATTTGGTTTTATTAACATTTGAATGGGGCATGTTACTCGGTACAATCTATCAGGAAGACTACATAACAATGAATGCCTCAACAGTTGGCAAGAGACCATATGGAAGGCCATATGGATAGATTGAATCAACAAAAATGCAACAATGCTGTTTGAAGATAACTGGAAAGAAATAGATCGCTACATTTAGTATTCCAGGTTGATAATTTGGCCATAAAAGATTCTTAGAATTAGTCTGTGGTACAGACCTCTTTTTATCAAATTATTAACATCTGCCTGAAACTTTATAAATACTTTCATCTCATCGTAATCTACAACTATTTTATTTACGAAAACTATTGGAATTGGGGCATTTTCTATCTGGATGGGGACAAACTTTGTCTATTTAATTAGGTACTAAATACCCATTTGTTTTCTACTTAGATTGTAAGATAATTTGATCACAAAGTCGAGAAAAAAGGGAGCCTTCAAAAATATTGAGCCACTTGGCGTGACCTACACCCCCAAATTTTCAAAATAACGAAGTTATATAGGACAAATGGCCCAATATTTTTGTAGGCCACCTTTTTTATCAATTTTGTGATCAATTTATATCGTGACTAAGTACTTCCTTAACCGCAGAACCGTTTTGTGACATTATTCTTGAGGAAGCTTATTAAATTATATTTTAGAATTGAGGAAGATGACAAAAGGTCTATCAGATTTCCTAACTTTGTTAATATTTAATGTATTTTCTATATATACATATAAGAGGGAGTTTACTGCTCTGATTTTTTGTAACCCTCTCACTGATGGTGGATGTGAATTACCGGTGAAGCAACATCCACAGTACAGTCGAATCTTGATAATTCATATTTTTCGACAATTCAAACTCTTCAGCTGTTATCTTCAGTAAATCCAAAAAATACTGTATTTTAATTAATTGAAATCTTTTCGTAACAAGAGGGGAAGAGAACGTTCTATAATTCAAACTAGACCACTTCTCCTCTTTATAACTCGAAATTTTCCTAGTAATTGTTTTTTACATCAGGCTATTTATATATAAAATTTATGTAAGCTCACAGATATTTTCAAAAATATATTAAAAACTCTCAATAATTCAATTTTTTTTTTCTTTCTTCCGGATAGTTCAAACTTCTTGTTGTCTCTTGAATTTTGAATTATTGATAGTTGACTGTATTACCTTGTCCAGATTAACCTTACTATGCTTCTATATAACCATCAATCTGCTTCCTTGAACCATAGCAAGACACATAGAGTAATCATTATTTACTTAACATTCTAATCACTGTAAGAAATGGACATATGGGTGGTACTTCTGACGTGAACGGTCATCGAAAGCACTTAAGGAAGTGGCTAGTAGTGTAATTTTTAATGGTAAGTTCCTTGATGATGAGTGCATGATATAAAGCCCCTCCCCTCCCATTTCATATACTTATAAATAAACAACTATTACCCTTTTAGGGAAACCAGTTTAATAAACCAAATCTGGTGCGGTGTGTACATCACACAACTTTTATTTACCACCCTATTTTTAGTAGAAATAGGTATTTCCAAGTAAAGGGTAGGGAAAAAATACGAATGGTGCAACATACTATTTAAAACAATTAATTACTATATTTTTTTACCAGCCATCTGCATTTTTGTCACTAACCATTCCTTTATGATTTTATATTTTAATTATAATAAATAATTAAGTGTCACTATATTTATTTATAATACATTGAAGGAATTTATTAGCTTAAGCACTGGAATATATAAAATTTTTAAATAGTTATATTGCTGTAATATGTACAATTAAATATTAAATGATACCGATGCCAGTATTTATGAAAACCGCATATGTATATGTATATGGTATTGCCGGAGCCCGTGTTATATTAAGCATGCACTATGTTTGGAAGTCTATCCTAACCTTTCGGTCAATGTTGGATTTCTTCGATTCTGCATTACCATCGTTTTTTATCCTTTAGTTAATTATCAAATTCTTCCATAGTTTATGTTTAACCATTTTTTATTCCTGGCTATATTGTGAAATGGTTAATCATTTTTAAAAAATCAATAAATGTACTTCAGAGGAAGCAAAAATCTCAACATTTAAGTTCAGTTAAGTTATCCCTTTGGTCTAAAAGGGGTCCTTTTTCTTTCTAAGCCTTCATTGTATAACAACTAATATTTTTTTCATTGGATTAATTCATATTCTTATTTCAGAGCAACGAGTGTTAGTGTTTTAATGCTATTCGCAAGGATTGGAACTTTTTCTTTGAATTTTCTCATTGCTAACCTTATTTATAATTATTGTGAATACTTATTTTATGGTTTTACCATCTATTCTTTGGGTAAGTAGATAATTAAAAGTTATAAAAATAAATAATCCTACTAACAATAGTAATGTAAATAATAATATAGAAAATTAGCACTAACAAGAATAGAAAAGTATATCTCTAACTTGGTCCTCTTTGATTAGAATTAAGACTATTGTCTTGTCTAAAACATCTTCATTGTTTTTTGAGTGATAAATATTCAGGACACAGTCATTATAAAATTTGTGTATAAGTGCCGACGTTTCAATGCAAACATGTGGGTCATCTTCAGGGCTAAAAATTTTTTAATACAATCAGAGATATAATATTAGACGACTGATAATGGTAAATAATAAACTATAGTGATTTGATGGTACATGAATCTTAACTAATATTACAATACACAATATTAAAAATTAAATATGTAAAAAGTTATACAAACTAAAAATAATGTATATAATCTATTTATAAAAATTTATAATATTTTCTCTTACTGTGGTTTGAGCACTGAGGATGTTCAAGTACTGATACATTTGGTAGGTAAGTGAAAGGATCGGGGGAGGATTTCCCAGTTGTCCTTTTTCATATAGCAAAAGGTGTGTAAACATAGTTAGAGACAAAGGGAGGGGGGAGAGGTAACATTTCTGTTTGTAGAATGTAAATAATTTGCTGACTAAATATTCAAGATGTGTACAAGATTTTTACTAAAAGGTTGTTTACTGAATATTTAGTCATCAAATTATGCTCATTCTACAAACATAAATGTTACCTCTCTCCTCCCCCCCCCCTCTGACTATGTTTACTTACCTTTTGCTATATGAAAAAGGACAACTGGGAAATCCTCCCCCAATCCTTTCACTTACCTACCAAATGTGTCAGTACTCGAAAACCTTTAGTGATCGAACCATAGTTAGTAAGAGAAAATATTACAAATTTTTATAAATGGATTATATACATTATTTGTAGTTTGAACAACTTTTTATCAACCGAAAAGGAATTTTATCCGAACAAGATAATGCTCGTCCTCACACTTGCCGTCGAACCAAAGAAAAGTTTAAAGAACTTCATGGGCTCGAACCATCAGACTACTACTTATTTAGAGCCATGGCCCATTTTCTTCTAGGGAAAAAAATCGATAATTTTACAGAAGTTGAAATTGTGACCCAAGAGTTCTTCGACAGCTATCCCAAAGAATGGTATCAGCGTGGGATCGAGTAATTGGCTAGCAGATGGCTAATGACGATAGATAACAATGGACTACTTTGAGTATTAATTGTATTTTATATCAAAGAAATAATGATACAAATATTTGGTTGAAAACGGTCATTTTTTTTTTCCCCCTATTATTTAAATTTTCTATTTTATTCAGAGATAATAATATATAGTAACATACCTTTGAATTTTTAAAATGAATTAATTTTGTAGTCTTCGGTATTATATTGTTTTTTTTTTCACAATAATGTTGATTTTATTTATTTATCATTTTACAGAAATTTTACAGGTAATATAAACTACCACCACATTTTTTTTTTGAACATCCCTTCCAGTCAAAATGGAAAGTAAGCTCAAAACGTCTTTTATCCATTCTTCCTACTCACATTGATTTGCATTGTTTGTTTAATCTGCAGCATGAATTATTATATATATAAACATTACAGTGTTTCTAACATTAATGTTTATTTTTTTTAGTAATGGCTGCTCTGATACTGATTATACCACAAAAACCTATAGAAGAGAAAGTTGTAAACACTCTAAAACAGAATGGAGCAACTGGCCTGAATGTTTTGCCTAGCAATACAAGGAGTTCTATGCTATGATCTCAATTACCATTGAATCGAGTCATTAATTCTTAGTTTTGTACTTGACAATTTAAGCAGTATTAATAGTAAAATATTTATCAAAGGAATAATTTAATTTTGTTATACCTACTGAACATCAGCATCTAACATCTGAAGATATTATTGTCCAAGAGTTGGCTTATAAAAAGCCGACTATTAATAATAAAAGGCTTAGCGAATCCGAAAGTTCAGTGCATACTTCCATCGAATGATTGCTGAGCAAGCCGAACTCTACAAGATTAGCCTTGACAAAATCCTCCCTTTTTCACTTTAGTGTATCCCTTAGCACAGCACTTATTAACCTTTTAAGAATTCACTACGAAACATAACAAGTTTATATGCCTGCTATCACCTGAATTATATGTATTGGGTACTTTTCACACAATTAAATATTGTGTAGCCATCTAAATTCTCCATCTCAGCTTGTCTTTCTTTGGTCCAAATGTTCTATGCAATTTTTTGTTTTCAAAAACTTTAAGGTATACCTTAATTCAAGCGGCCACAATTTGCATCTTTAAAGGTCCATAGGAAACATAATACTTTTGTAAATTAATTTTAAGTTTCAGAACAGAAGGTGGGAGCTGATTGATTTTGCAAAAATAATAATGACCTAGCCTTAATTTCCTCTTCAATTTCATTTATTTTACTTTAAAGTTATCATTGACTAAATCTCTTTTACAAGTTCACGGTGAAACTGTCACCGTTTTTGCAGCTAACCATATTATATTTTGTCTTATCCATATTTAATTCAATCCTCAACTAGTTTTTTTACTTCATTTCATATTTGTTTTTGGATTTAGTTTTATAATTTCTGTGTCTATACTTAGTAGCGCCTAATCATTGATGGAACAAATTACCGATATTTTGCCACCCAGATCATAACCTTTTTCGGTAAATATCACATTTCTACTGGCATTTTCTAATACTATTTTAAATAGTACTGGTGAAAAAATATCACTTTTTATTTACACCCGGGCAAACCGCAAAATTCTAACTATAATGAATGTTCAGTCATGCTCATTCTTACTAAAATTACTAACTTTTTCGGTATACTAAGCTCAATCTGAATATTATACAACTTCTTAAGGTCAATGGAATATTATATATATATATCAAATGAGAACTCCGGGTGTGAAGAAGAAAAACTGTATTTTGCACTTGTTACATGATTACTACTACATGATCACCTGGTGTGAACCAAGGCGATTGTTGAACATAAGACAATGGGATAATTCGAGAGCGGGTATATATTAGGGAAGGCAGAGAGGTCAGTAACATTGGCATTGAAATAGCTTGTAAATATTGTTATATTATGTTATGTCAGTTTCTACTTTGTCTACGTTGTGACATTGGCATCAGGGTTTACAGATAATATTATGACATAATATTCTGGTGCGTTGTCCGCTCCTGGAGGTAACTCAAAAACCAACCTCTTTAATTTTTGAAGATTAATAATTTAATTTCTTAACTTTAATTTACTAACACTTGAGAAGAGCTTTGTAAAACAAACTCTTACCAGAGTATTCTAAATTTTAGTTTGAAGTGAAACAAATGTTTCAGATTGGACAGCATTATATAATTTCTTTATATTATTAATTTTTACAGTAATAGTTGATGATCAACTGCAGGTTGGCATATGTCAGATACAATGGATCTATGGAGGGTTAAAAACCAAAATATTTGCAAATGAAAAAGGTCAATTTCCATTTTCTGAGTTTGCTAATTCAAAGTGAAAACATCTTTTTTATTTTCACTTACCTATGTATGGTATATATAGCAAGAGAAAGTATTGCAACCGTGAAAATTTATTTGAAACAATTGATCATTTCATATTAATCTATAATATAAAATATAGTTAAATATGAAAAAAAATTGATAATTAAGGAGATATTAAAGATCTAACAGAGAATAGTTATAATTCAGGAACCAAAGAAATACCAGTGCACCCGAAAGATTAAAACACGCTTCCATACGTAACATGAGCTTAGTATAATGACTGCAGCAATATTTTGTAAATATACATATGCGGTTTTCATAAATGCTATTGTTGGTATTATTTAATATTTAATTGTATGTGAGGAGTTGGTAGGGGAGTGCGGTCAAATGAATACAAAACTTTTAAAAAATAGAATTTTTAATTGTTAAGCCATATTTTTAGTTGACCATGTTTTACAATTAAAAATACTATTTTTTAAAAATTTAGTGTTTATTAATCTGGTTTTATGTTCCACTTTTAATGAGGGAGAGATCTAATAACCAAGGATCCTTTTCTTAGGGATCTACTATTGAAACAATGAATCAATCTTTGAAACTGAGTTTCAACGATTACAATACTGAGTAGTATTTACTTAAGTATAGCTGATGAATATTGCTTAACTGAAGAGATTAAGCTAAATACTTTATATATAGAAAAAGCTAAATACTTCTTAAAGTACACTGGTCCTTCCATGTAGTAATTAAAAAATGTATAACTTTACCAACTGTATAGACTTTTTATATATTATAGAATAGGAAATAATTTTATTCTGGGACAAAGTCCCTTTAGAATAACAAAAAAGTAAAATATTATATCTGGTCTAGATAAAAACTAAAAACCCAAATTACAAATAAATAAATATTTATTTATAAATATCAAATATAATAATAAATATCATTTATTTGTTTTTAATTGGTTGGATTTTTTTCTTTACTGAACACCCTGACTTCTCTTCACTCATATAAGGTATAATTATGGATCATGAGGAACAAATAAATCAATAGTGTGAAATTTTATTTGATAGATAAACAAAGTTATACACAGAATTTCATATGAAAAACAACCATTTTTACATATACAACAGAATATTATTTCAATATTTCAAAAATATTGTTATAAAAACAATTAAATAAAAATCATTTGCTATGTGTTTTTTGGGGGTCAATGATTACATAGATCATTAATTTTTAGTATTTAAAAACAGGCAACTAATAATATTGTTTCATATAAATATTGAATAGAGAAATTTTAATTATTTAGTTAAAAGACTAACCAAAACACGAACACTCCATAGAAAGTCTTTAAAAATGTGTCTAGTACAAATATTATTACGCATATTTTATCATCAAATAAAATTCAACTACCACACTACTCAAATACATTGCTAAGACATAGAGCATATCAGTCTTTACAACATTCACGTTTTATACATTACAGTAATTTAACACATTAAGTATACACAATGATAATGAAATACAACATACAGCAAATTTCGATAAGTTAAGTAGACTAACATAATAAAAATCTCGAGAGATTAAAAGTTAACGGATAGGTACAAGTAAAAAATAGCCACAAACTGTTGTTGAAATCATAATGTTATTAACATTAAATAAAGGCTATTGTTAACTAGAATATATATTTATTCTTCTATAAAACTAATAAAAGTATAGAATATATTTTACAGTGAAACTATTAAATAAAAGGCTGAAGATTTTGAAAGCTTTACTACTTACATACCTTATTCAACCAACCTCTGTCAGTCCTTGTGAGATACAGATCTCTGATCTCAACACTCGAACTTGACTATAATATATTTAATATATGTTATTTAAGTTGGAAGTTTACAGTATTGACATGAAAATATAGCAGAAAATGTTTAATATGTGACTTATCTGAGATAAGATAAATAACTTTAATCAGGAGTTCAACAGCAATGTGTAAAATCATGGTCCCCAATATGCAAAATCTTACATAAAAGTGCAAGTTGGAATTTTGAGAGATTTGAAAATTATAATTACGTATAGATAAATCATATTACTTGACGTATTTTCCCTGAAAATAATTGAATTTCACAATATATCCAAGGTCATCGGAAAGGGTTGGGGGGCATGTTGAATCCATTTCATAATGCCTAAAATATTTGGTTACTTTTAACATCCCTGTTAACATCAAATTAGGTAAAATTCACTCTTATTTTTATAGGTGGAACAATGCCATAGAATTAGGGATGAATCTCAGTCTAAATTTTTGAGAAATTAGTTATTTTTTTACTTTGCACACTTCTGAATCGACTAAGTGGTGTACATTTTGGAGCCTCAAATTACTTTTCCCAATCCTCACCAAATCAATTTTCTTTTGTTTTAGTAATAAGCCGCATTCAGATATCACAATTTACATTTAGGTATCTAAGCACAGGAGATTTTAAATGTTGACAGGATATAAACAAAATGAAACAGACTTTACTTTTGTAATAATACAATTGCCATGATTGACAACAACAAAGAAAAAAAAATGGATGAGAATATCTTCAAGTATTAAAATTTTTTTAAACAAAAACAGGAAAAAAGAATCTATATGCTCTTTCTCATGATAAAAGTTATTAATCATGTGGCCTATAAACTATTAACAATAATGCTAAGCAAACCCAGATACCACAAAATAAGAATAAAATTTATGTTTTTTTTTAATGATAGGTAAGTTTAACCTTCCTAGCTGAAAATAAAACAGAACTATTTCCACAACTAGTTACATGTGTATCAAGAAAATATTTCATGAAGTGTATGAAACTTTCAAGTTATTGATAATTAATATTTATGAACCAAAGTTTAAAACAAAATATTTGTATACATAAATCATAACAAATAAGCATGTAATTATCACATATAAATTTAAAATTGTTGTATTACCCAAGACCTCAGTAAAAAACAAATATATAAAAATAAAATAAATAAATCTTCAATAAAACATTGATTTTTATAACTACTATTCTCAGTTCATTTTAAATATTCAATTAAAATAAAATCAAGGAGTTCGCAAGTGGCACCTGATTTCAGTTTAAAACATAACCATTGACAGGAAAGTCTTAAAAACAGTTTTCACATGAAGTGAAAAGTTAAAATTAATACAACCTACTCAAAAATATTGAATAGAATTGTTATATGGATTTCAAAAAATATTATGATATTTATTAATAATATAATTTGACCATAAATCATTCCAAATTTGTAAAAATATTGATTGGTTCGTTGTAAGTAGAATTTTGAGAATTGAAAATGTTAAGATATTGAATGAGAACCAAAATCATTCGACATTTGGCAAATGCGTTAAACAATTGATTACATTTAAGCTTTTATAAATTATATTGATCACATGTTTGAAAAATTAAATAAAATAATTAATCATACAATCATTATCGTGAAAGATAAAATAAATAACAAATATGTGTAGCTCAGATTTTATTAACAAGCAAGATGAAATTGCACCAACAGAAAAAAATTATACCCGTGCCATTACTAAAATTGTAATAAGTATAAGCTTGAAAATTCTCTGTGTGACAAATTAGATTAAATATAATATTACCATCAAATAAATTATGGATACATTTTCTACCAAAATCATTAAAAGCAATAAGTATATGTATTATTGTTTGTAAAATAAAGTAAAACTACAATAAATATTTAAAATTGTAAATCAAATAATTAGAAAAAAGTGTAATGATATATTTCTTAAATTAACTTGGGATTGAAGTGAAGCAGACACAGAGAGGGACCAATTGTTTTTAGCAAAACAATAATATTCCTTACTAAACACCAATAAAGCAAAGGAATATAATGACTAATACTAATCAACAAACAGTGATGTTTACATCAGTTATCTCAGCAGCATGCAGAGTTCCGTGTTGATGTTTTTCCATCACCAGACAGAGTTGAACCCGGAGAATGTTGAGGACCTATTTTTATTCCGTTTGCTTCATTATTTATATCGAAAACACCCTCTTGAATCTTTTCATAAATTTCTTTTGCTGTATTCATAAAGGCTTCTTCAACGTTTGCCGAAGTTTTAGCAGATGTCTCCATAAAGACTAATCCATGTTCTCTGGCAAAAGCCTCTCCATCTTCCTTTTTAACTTCTCTCCTAGATTCAAGATCACTTTTATTACCAATCAACATAATGACCATATTGGAATTCGAATGCTGCCTAGCGTCGTCAAGCCATGAAGACAGGTGATTGAATGTTTCCTGCCTCGTCACATCATACACTAACAAGGCACCAGCAGCTCCTCTGTAATAAGAACGCGTAATCGAGCGAAATGCTTCCTGACCAGCAGTATCCCAAATCTGAAGTTTTATGTGTTTACCATCAATTGTTACCATTCGAGCACCAAATTCAACACCAATGGTTAAGTCATGAACTGGCTGAAATCTTTTATCAGTAAACTGTAAAAGCAAACAGGACTTTCCAACTCCTGTGTCTCCAATTATAATATACTTGAAGAGGTAGGAATATGACATATTGGCATTTATTCAAACACTTATCTGTTGATATAATATGTTTGTTACGACACAAAACAATTATATTCAAAACACTAAAACTCAAAATCCCCGAAAAGTTGTTACCCTTATCTTTTTAGAATATATTTTGTTAACTAATGTTAGCTATGATTTCTTTTAAGTATGGTTACAACAGAACAATGAAAAAAGATTATAAATACTAGTGATGGCAACTTTCGAAACTGATAATAACGCCAAAGAGCTACGAGACTCAAAGATGCCAAGGAGGAAAATCTCAAAAATTTTACCCCTACTTAGCAAAGGACGAGAGTTAAACTAATTGTTAGATATTTATTTTTAATTAATGAATTATTTTATTTACTTATTTTTTATGAACAAAAACCTGATATATTTGATTATTCAAAAAAGAGGGTTTCTCATTAAATTTTAATTATTCGTTATTTTAGTTCCTTTAATAGGTAATTGTGTGATTGTTCAGCTTCAGCATAGCAACAGCAGTTGAACTAAGTCTGTCCATGTTATAAATGTTTCTATTTCTTAGAATGGTGGAGTATATTTAAATTATGTTTGGCAATAAGGGATGGGTGCTCGTTTCAGTTCGTAATACCATATAGTCTCGTTATATCTGTGTTTTGGTTTAAAAAAGAAATAATCCTATCTCCTCGCCAGCTGTGCTTTGTGCTAGGAATAATAAAACAATGATACTTCCTGTTTATCTTTTTAGTAGAAATTGGTACAAATATGAAAATTATAATCCAGGATTAGATATCTATACACAATAACTGTAAACAGATTCTAGAACTTCTGATTTTTGTATCCTCTTTAAAATATTATTCTTGGACCAAAGCACAGATAAACTGAATTCATTTATTGTAACTTTGAATCAACTTCACGACTTCAGTATAACTCAAACGCAACGCAATTCCTAGAGGACTATCGCCATCCTTGTCTCTAGCATTCTTGTCAGCTCCATAATCCAGTAACAGCTTTACGATTCCTTGGTGGCCGAGCGAAGCTGCGTAATGCAGTGGCGTAATATCACTCGTATCTCTCACACGCACTGCAGCCCCGGCTGACAGAAGCGTCTTCACAGCTTCCGTGTGGTTATACCATGTTGACAAATGCAACGGCGTTTCCCCATCATTATCTCTTGCGTCTTTATCTGCTCCAGCTCCCATCAGCATTTTCATAGCATCAATACACCCGTTTCGGGACGCCCAGTGGAGGGAAGTCCAACCGAAACTATTTCTAGCTTCGATATTTGCGCCATTGGAAAGGAGTTTCCTCAATGCGTTCACCTGACCACGACTAGCTGCAAGATGAAGCGCAGTATTGCTCTGTTTGTCTATCGCCCATACGTCTATATCTAAATCCAGAAGGGCCTTCAAAATATCCATTTTTCCCTCAGATGCCGCTTTATGTAAAGGCGTTCTTCCTAAGTTATCTCTGGCTTCCATGGCAGCTCTCAATGACTTTAAATTTCCATCTGGGGACACGGAAACATTCAAGTATTTTTGTGCAATTGACAAGGACGATAACTGATTAATATTTGTCTTATGCTTATTACTTCTTCCGATCTGAAATAAACCAGAAAGAAATTAGCTAAAGCTTTTCAGATGCGAGCACATAATTTTACTCAATTATAGTTAAATTATGTCTCTTAAATTTAATGTTTCACGCAATTTAAACATCATAAGAACAGAATATATATATATATATATATATATATATATATATATATATATATATATATATATATATATATATATATATATATATATATATATATATATATATACGAATTACAAAATAAGCATAAAGTTAGAAAAGAGACATAAGGTAACATACAGATGAATAGTTAACTTACCAACGTTTTGCTGATTCAGGCATCGTCAGGGCAGACCTACTTATATGTAGGGGGAACAAAAAAAGAAAAAGAAATTATTGTTGATGTAGACATTTCAAGAAGCCATTCAAACATATACTGAAGGAAAGAGAAGGTTCTATTAACACAGCTAAAGAAGGTTACGTTGAAGCATGTATACAAATAAGAAAAGAAAAACAAACGTGTTTAACAAAATAAAATAACAAATTAGTAAATTTTAAATAATGCTCGAAGGTATATACAGTATCCGTCCCAACAAAATTCAGTTGGAACACGGCCATTCCACATGTAATATTACAAAGTAAGTATAAAGCTAGTCATAAAAAATATTTTGATTTTCTTTCTTGTAGTCCTGCTAATCAGCTGTTCAATATATCTTCCCTCAGCTGTATTAATCAACCTTATCTTTCCTTCAGTTGGTATTTGAATGGCTTCGTGAGATTTCTAACAATTCTTCCTGCAAGATCTTGATTTTTCAATCCTGATGATGCCTGAATTGGCGCAACGTTGGCCAGAGAAGTTAACTATTCACCTTTATGTTTGGAGAATCATGGCTGTGTTTTTTTTTTTTTTTTTTTTTTTTTGCATTTTTGCATTTATAATACATACAAATATAGGCCAGAGATGTAAAATCTCACGTCGGCAGCCTTAAAAATAACTAAGTAGAGATGAGTAGAGCATCACAAGACAGTTTCGTAAATAATGACTGTTGCTTTTGTTCTTTTTTACTAATCATGTATTTAAACAATGTGATGTAATGATAACCAACACTATATACTATGCAGCAGTATAGATCCACTTCTTGGCTTGCAGGAGCGATGGCTTTTGATAAATGATATATCAAACGAAAGGGGAGTCCATTGAGAATTGATGGATGACAATTTCAAAAGTTAAAACTATAATAAAATATTTTATTTTGTAGGCACTTTGAATAATATATTGGGTGGATCCACAAGTTCATACGGTTTTTATTAATAGTGCAAATTGTTTTCAAATACCTTCAGTTATAATTGACTTATCTGACAATAATGATATTTATCGACAAGATCAAAGTTCGCTCTTTGACACTTGTTTGGTTTCATTGGCATTAGTTTTGTTTGTGCTACAGCGTAGTGGATATGTCAAATGATAAAGTGTATTTTTGCTTTTTTATTTCAAAAAGACAAGCTACCTTCAGAGGCCCACTGAAAGATATGTAAGGTATACGGTGCGTTGCCTTAATAGAACGGTACTGCTCAAAAATAGTTTCGTTCCAGAAATACGAGTCTCGAAGATGCACCCCGTAGCGGTCGGTCCACTGAGGTTGATTTGAGTGTTATCAAAGCTCTAATCGAACAAGACCGGTCTCTATAGCTACAATAAATTGTAGAGAAACTGAAAATAGGTTTTCGAATCGTTCAAAGGCATTAAAAACGGAACATGAGAACCATTAAAAGCATTTATTTCCCACACGAGTAGTGATGGATGAGGAGTAGTGGATCATATACGACAATATAGTGCGCAGAATGCCACGGAAAACTGCTGACGATCCGCATAATGCCACTCCAAAGACCGGCTTACATCCTAAACATATTTTGTTCTCCGTATGGTGGGATTATCGCGGTTCGCTGTTTTACCAGTTGCTTTCACAAGGAAAAACGATTGATTCGAAGATCTACTGCACACAGCTAACGAAATTGGACCAAGCATTGCGACAGAAACGCCCAGAAATAGTCAATCGCTAAGGTGTTGTATTCTACCATGACAACGCCAGACTACACAGCAAAAGTTTGTACATCCTTAAAAAACCGAACGAACTTCTGGATCCATCCAATAGAAAGAAACATTTTGATGTTTTTAATACTAAACTTTTTAATCGTTTGTGTGAAGCTTCACCGGTTTTGTTGTATTGAATATAATTTCTTGATAATATTATTTTATTTAGAAAATCTCATTTTTTGCTGATGTTGCTTGTACGTCGAATGCATTAGAGAGAATAGCTATCTGATATGAGATTTATTATTAGGGTATTCTAGTTTTAATATGTATTCAAGAACTAAAAGTCCAATTTTTTTGTTTTTGTAACGGTCTAATAAAGACGAAGTGACAAAGTAATTATTATCTCAAATCATGTTCTTTGATATTAATAATTGTATAATTTACTATCCAGCCATTGAGCTATATATACAAAAAGGTAATAAGCTATTTTGGTGGAATCCTCAAAGAAAACTGAAGCTATTTCGAAGGTAGATTATTTGTATGATAATACGGCTATCTTATGTTCTGAAATGGAATCTTGTGTTTTATATAAGTAATGGAATACATATTTCAGCAATTTTCTATTTTTAACGTTTGTGAAACTACAGAGTTTTCAAAATGTTTTAGAATGACATGTCGACTTTTTACACCTATCATGTTTTTTTAAATCACTATCACACACTGATTTAGTTACGGAAAAAAAAAACAAGCCTAGATAATCAAAATATAATGGATACTTACGATGCCAGTGAATTGTATCGAACAGATAAGCAGCAGAGCTATTATTTGTGTTGACATGTTGAAGATTTAATAGCATCATTTCAAATCTGTTGATGTAGCCATCAAAATATATTGGGTCACAAAAACTATTAACGATATCCTATCTGGAGTCAAGGTTTTTTCCGTTGATATTTTAGCGAAATTATACTGGCAATAGGATAAAATACTGAATTGATTTTGTTTTATAATAATTTTAAATTTAAATATACATCATGTAATAATCAATGTTTCCTCTTTCTAACAGTAGCTACGAAATTTTCAATCTTGATTGCACAGAAAAAAGTTTTGTAACAATCTTTAATGCTCTATGCATAGCAGTAAAGATTTTCTCTCTCATTTTTTCATTACAAATTATTTTTCCTGGTTTAAATTGGATGGTTTTATATTTAACTTATTTATTTTTCAGGCTGAAGCCCTCTCAATGTCTTAAGAAACAAATATTTATTAATTACCTCTAAAAGTATTATTGTTCGTGTAATTACATTCAATAGTACTTAAAGAATCACTTAAACTCTATTTCATATAGGTAGTTAGTTCCTTTCTTTTTCTTCTTAAGTGATTATCATTACATATTTTAAAAAAAAAATCTTTCTGGCTGAAGCCCCCCAAAACTAAATCCTGGATCCACTAGTGATTGATAGTAATAATAATTAACATCTGTATTCCAAGGAAATTACTTTTGGGTTGATAACTGGATATAAATAATGAGAAAATAACAAAAATTAACTAATAGTAACTATAATTTAATTAAAAATATAAACATGGAATGTGCGTCAGTGGCTAACACATTTTATAAGTGTTGTTTGTGCCATCTAGCGGCAATCCAGTGTAACTTTCCCATTACAAAAGAACTGAAAATTAATTAATTTTTTTCTTGCTACTTATAAAAGTTATTCGATTTAATAATTTTACAGAATGTTCTAGAAAAGGTGATTATATACATTTTTCTTAATATTTTTTTATTTCCTTAGAAAATTAATAACAAACAAATTTGAATACTAGCATTTAACCAGGGGTTGAATGAAACAGTTAACTCTAATAATTAAAAGTTAAAATGTAACTTTTACTTATATATCTAGATGTATAAAAGATTTTATTGAACTTTATTTTTATTGATGAATGCCATTTCAAAACAGTTATTTTCTTCACTTTTATATTCAAACCTCATTAATAAAAGTTTCTAGAACAGTTTATTTTATTACAAACCATTTACTTGAATAGGTTTTCATGAAATAACTCCAATGCACGTTTTTATTTAAATAAAATATAATCATCAGTATATGAACATAGCTTTTTAAAATATGTTTACAAGGTATCGAACAAGATAGTAAGTATTATGTTGATTAAAAAACATTAAAGTTTGAAATTTTCTAATGAATTCTGATTAGCAAATACAACTTTGCATAGTATAATGCTCAAGAAATTTAATATTGAAATATTTTCTAGGATCACCGCAATTTATTAGTTTTCCATTCTGAGTACTGAAAAGTGTAATAATTATGAACATCTATTATAATATGTAATTTATTATACCTATAACTTTTATTTTAAAGGGAATAAGTAAAAGTTTAACAAATAGTTTTTTATTACATTTATTTATGTATTAAAAAAGTAAAAAGATTTTTAAGCTAGAAATTTTATTTAAGATAAAAGTTTTTTCATACAGTTAAAGTTGAACTCATTTGTAAAAGAAAAACCTATGTATTTAGGGGCATAATTTTTCATTTAATTATAATTAAATAATATGCATTTTTTTTATTACTTTCCCAACTACGTATGGTGAAAAAATATGATAATTAAATATTAATTTTTATGTACCAGCTAGTACCTTAAGGTAATATATTGTTTAATATCATGCAGATTTAATACACAAAGCTTGTATTTTACCATGTAACATTTACATTAATATTTTACTATGCAACATAACTCTTATTATTATTTTCTAGAATTGTCTAAATAAGATATGTTCGAGCTAAATCAACATAAAAATACTGACCAGAACTAGATTTCGAATCATAGAAATAATGAATAATTGAAGTTCACTTCATGAAAAAT